AGGAGGGGAAGAGGAGGCGGAGGCCCGGGCCCAGCCAGGAAAGGGAGGAGGGCTGAGGCCAGGGGAGGCGCAGGGCTGCACACCTGTCGGGCCTCCTTTTCAACCCGTGATGGCAGCAGCCCAGCCACCGGCAGGAACCGCCCGGCACACACCCGTCAGCCGGCGCGCACACGTGCACACCGGTGCACACACACACGTCGGTGGGACCCCACACCCATCCGGATGGCGCGCGCACAGAGGCGGACACGGAGCACACAGCTCGCGCCCCACGTCCGCGCCAGCTGCCCTGACCCCGGGACCCCTCCCCGGGCTGCCCTGACCCCGGGCCCCCTCCCCGGGCTGCCCTGACCCCGGGCCCCCTCCCCGGGCTGCCCTGACCCCCGGCCCCTCCCCGGGCTGCCCTGACCCCCGGCCCCTCCCCGGCCTCCAGGGCCACCGGTGTGCACTGCCTCCACCTTCAACTGTCGGTGGTGTGTTAGGCCCACCGCGCTCTAGAACTTTCCCACCTCCATCCCCGGGGAGCCGCGACGCCCCCCGCCCCCAGCCCGGCAGCCTCCGCCTTCTGTCCCTTCTGTCCCCGGCGGTTTGAGGTCTAAACGGAGCCTCCTGTGGCTGAAGTTGGGCCACGCCGGCCCTCGGGCCTCTGGGCGGCAGGAATCGCCTGCTTTTGAGGCCAATGGGCATCCGTGAGCGGCGGGGTGCGGCCCCAGAACGACCGCGACCGTGGGGTTCAGAGCCAAGCCCTGGGCGTTCTCCTCCAGGAGAACCGACCCACTGTCCCCGCCCGCCGCGCAGGACGCCCGAAGCCTCAGCCCGCCCAGCTCCTGCTACGGCTTTAGTGTGTGCCCGGAGCACGCGCCTGTGTGCGCCTCTGTGTGCGCGCGCCTGTGTGCGCGCGCCTCTGTGTGCATGCGCCTCTGTGTGCTCCATGTCTGCCTCCGAGTGCGCGCGCCTCCGTGTGCTCCGTGTCCGCCTCTGTGCGCACGCGCCTCCGTGTGCACGCGCCTCCGTGTGCACGCGCCTCTGTGTGCACGCGCCTCTGTGCACGCGCCTCTGTGCGCACGCGCCTGTGTGCTCCGTGTCCGCCTCTGTGTGCACACGCCTCTGTGTGCACGCGCCTCTGTGCGCACGCGCCTCTGTGTGCTCCGTGTCCGCCTCTGTGTGCACGCGCCTC